GGGGGTGTCAGTGCTAGGAGGTGGTTTGTAGGTGCCATGTGGACCTCCCTGTGTGCGGGGAGAGCTCAGAACCTGGGCTGGGAGAGCAGCTCCTGCCCCTCCGAGCCCGTGGTGGTGGCTGACGGTGCCACGACCTGCTGTGACCCCCTGTGTGGGGCAGATCCGTGGCACCCGGGCTCTGTGTGGGACCTTGACCCTGGAGCTGCTCTGGGGTCTGTCAGGCTGCTCGTCCCTCTGGGGGTGTCTCTGGTTAATGAGTAGTTGGTGCCCTCAGCCTGTCACACCCCAGGGCTGGTGGGTCGGGTCACTGCCCTGCTCAGAACAAACTTACTTTGCTTTCACACTCTTGGGGTTAAGCTGTGGGGTCTGGGAGGTGCAGCCTGTGCTTGGGGTGGCAGGGAGGGGTTCTGGTTCCCTCCCCAGAGCTGGGCAGTGGGGTTTGGCTTTCTTGGAGTGGAAGGTGGAGGAGCTCACCTGCACAGGGTGTGCTGGGGGGGAATACTGACCCGGGAGCAGGCAGCAGGGAGGGATGTATTGCTTGCTGGGTGATTTCCATGGAATTGATGTTGTGTAAACACAGGTTTGATGCTGGTGTGTGTCACTGGGCCTGTCTGTGCTCCAGAGCCAGGATTACTCACCTGAATACACAGGGTGATGATTAGATTGTCAGGTCAGTGTGGGAAGGAGGCCTGACTCCTGCAGCAGTGGTGCCTCTGGAGCAAAGAGGACAGACAAACTCTCTCACCCAGCCCCTGTTGTTCCTGTGCTCAGTTTTGACCATGAGATCACAACTTGTTACACACAGCAGCAAGGTCAGGAATCCCAATCCCACAACACCCAACCCCAGGAATCCCATTAAACTTCCTTTATTTGGTGTTTTGGCTTCAGCAAGAGAGAATCTGTTGGGGGATGGGGATGTTTTTCAAATAAAACTTGGAACAGCTGGACAAGCTTGATGAGACTAGTTCAAAACTTCACTTACAGCCCCTTTGGAACATGAAGTTGTGTGTACCAGCTGGATTAAAGCCCTGGTGAAACACAGACCAAGTGCTCTCCATAAACTGCATTTAAACTTCCCACATCATCTGCTTTCCAGCTCTCCCAGGCCAGGCTGAATTCCTTGTTGCCTGTTAGAACAGGAACATGTTTGGATGGCTTTCCAGGAGCTGACCTAGTAATGATTGTCTTCTAACTGAGGTGGCATTCAAGGTGACTTTCTCTCTCTTTTGCAGTGAAACGTGATGTCCAGGAAAATGATGAGGAAGCGGTGCAGGTCAAAGAGCAGAGCATCCTGGAGCTGGGGTCCCTTTTGGCCAAGACTGGGCAGGCAGAAGGTGAGCCTGAAATAAGTAACTGAGGTATGAGGTAAGGTCCAGCCCCAGGAGTCCAGCCTCCTCCTTTAATGGAAGAGGAATAAGTGGGTTTTGGCAGAGGTCCTTTTGGAGACAGGATGGAAACCAAAAAAGTAGATAAACAACATAGAATCATGGAATGGTTTGGGTTGGAGGGACCTTCAAGATCATCTAGATCCAACCCCCTGCATGGGCAGGGACACCTCCCACCAGCCCAGGCTGCTCCAAGCCCCATCCAACCTGCCCTTCAACACTGCCAGGGATGGGGCAGCCACAGCTTCCCTGGGCAACCTGGGCCAGGCTCTCACCACCCTCACAGCACAGAATTTCCTCCTCATGTCCAACCTCAATCTCCCTCTTCCAGTTTTCATCCATCCCCCTCATCCCATCCCTCCCTGCCCTTGTCCCAAGCCCCTCCCCAGCTTTCCTGGAGCCCCTTCAGGCACTGGAAGCTGCTCTAAGGTCTCCCTGGAGCCTTCTCTTCTCCAGGCTGAACCCCCCAACTCTCCCAGCCTGTCCCAGAGCTGCTCCAGCCCTTGGTTCATCTCTGTGGCCTCCTCTGGACCTGTGGCTCCTCACAGCTTGGAGATGTGCTAGTCCTGTGGAAAGAACTGTCCCCTTCCCTTTCTGTTCCCTGTGGAGGGTGGAGTAGATTGGTCAAGGGACAAGACTGTCTTGTCTGGCCCAGGTGAAGTACATCTCATCACTTTAGCTCCTGCTGGACACAAAGTTTCAATTAGTGGAATTTGAGGTGTGGCAGTGGCTTGTTGGCTGTTCAAGAGGTAATATCCCAGAGGTGAAAGTGTTTGGCAACAGTCCAGCTGGAGTTTGGTGGGGTTAGAAAGTTGGAGCTGCTGCCTGTCTGGGAGCATCAAGGGACCTGGAGTTTATTTAAAGGACTCATCTCTAGTGAACTGCAACCTTGTGTGTGGGGGAAGTGTCATTTGTATTATTATTATCTGCTTGATAGAGGTGAAGGATTGAACTGGTAGATGAAATACTGCTGGTTTTTTTAGGACAGTCCTGTTTTTTTATAGCATTGCTTCAAACTGTGGGATTGGAATAACTCAGCTCAGGAATCCTGGTGCATGGTGTGTGAACTGGTTGAAGCTCTTCCTCTGAGGATGAGCAGCAACTTCATTTTCCAGAGCTGCTGCTCATCACTTCTCCAGAGCTGTCAATCACACCACTTAACCAAGCAGTGCATTTACTTAAGTAAAAAAATAAACCTAAAAATAGTTGGTAGGAAAGAGAAATTTCTATGGGAACTTTGAGCTCACACGTCTCAATGTGTCGTTTGCAAAACACACTGAGGTGTTTTAGTTGTTGACTTGAAATCTGCTTTCTGGCGAGTTCTCAGGCAGCTGTTGAACAAGTCAATGGAAAGAGAGGTACTGCAGTGTGTCTCTCATGTGATTTTTTTTTTCTTTTCTTTTTTCCTAAACCTTCTTTCCCACGTGGAAGAGCACACTAAAACTATGATTCTGTTGGTCCTGGGAAGCAGTGATGCACAGTGTGAAGGACCTTGGTGCTTAGGAGCTGGTGGACCTCAGAGTCTGGCTGCCTTGATGAGCCAGGAGGGCTGGAGCAGCTCTCCTATAGGAGGGGTGTCTGCAGGGGCTCCAGGAAAGCTGGGGAGGGGCTTGGGACAAGGGCAGGGAGGGATGGGATGAGGGGGATGGATGAAAACTGGAAGAGGGAGATTGAGGTGAGACATGAGGAGGAAATTCTTTGCTGTGAGGGTGGTGAGAGCCTGGCCCAGGTTGCCCAGGGAAGCTGTGGCTGCCCCATCCCTGGCAGTGTTGAAGGGCAGGTTGGATGGGGCTTGGAGCAGCCTGGGCTGGTGGGAGGTGTCCCTGCCCATGCAGGGGGTTGGAACCTGGTGATCTTTGAGGTCCCTCCAACTTTCACCATTCCATGATTCTATACCTTTGATAAAAATGTTTGGGATTTGCATCCATGAGTGCTCTGCAGAACAAAGGCATCATCTGCCATGTGGCAGTCAGGTCTTCCTTCTTGAGTAGAACTGTCTCAATCTTGGATATCACTAATCTCAGTCTTAGATACTAAGGTACCTGCACCTGAGTTATAGAAAAACCTGCTCATTTGTTCTCAGTCAGAGGGAAAGTAAAACTTGGATGAAATTTTAGGCAGGGCAGTCCTAGTGCCTTGTTTGGTTCCCTGGAAAAAGTGTGAGTGGTTCATTGTAGCAAAAGTCACAATTTTTTAGCCTGCTCTTTGGAAAATCAGGCTCTTTGGAGGATCCAGGATGTACCTGAGATAACTTCCATTTGTTCTAAAACTGCTTTTTCAGGTGTACAAAATATCAGAACAGCACCATGAGCAACTGGACTGGGACACACTGTGAGTTCCACTGGACAGTGCAAGAAACAAGTTGTCTCAGGCTTGATTAAACTTCTCAAAGAAGTTGATTTAACTTCTAAAAGAAATAGATTGGAAAAATAAAACCACCAGGAATATTTTGGAGATACTATTAAGATTTTCCTAGGACAATTCTTTTGCATTGCAGCCAAATGACACGTGGGAGAAACTTGGTTCTCAACTGATTTTATTGGAATCCTCCCAAACTGAAGTTCTGCTGATGTTCCTCTGTTTACTAATTGATATAAAATTGATTAGTCTCTTTTAGTTCTTATTCTGACACCAGTTGGGTATGGTTGGACTCTGTCATCCTCAAGGTCTTTTCCAACCATAACGATTCTTTCATTCTGTGATATGGAAGGTTTCTGAGATACTTGTTACAGGTTTTGTTTTGAGGTGTTTTTTTGTTGGATTTTTTTTACTGTCAACTCTTGTAAACCTGTTAATGCAAAATCTGGGTGATGTTTAAGTGAGACTTAAAATTCTGGGGCAAATAAGCCACAATTCCAAGGTAGGACCCTCCTGGGCAGCACTGAACTGTGCTGAGCTGATCCAAGGATTGTCTTCTCCTGACTGTAACCAGACATGGCAGCAGCCTGGCCTGGTGGCCATGTGTGATTTGTCACAGGAGAGGAGTTGTCACAGATTGTCAGGGGTTGGAAGGGACCTCTGGAGATCATCCAGTCCAGCCTCCTGCCAGAGCAGGGTCACCCAGAGCAGGTTGCACAGGATGGTGTCCAGGAGGGTTTGGAATGTCTCCAGGGATGGACACTCCACAGCCTCTCTGGGCAGCCTGTCCCAGGGCTCTGCCACCTTCACAGGAAAGAAGTTCCTCCTCGTGTTTAGATGGAACTTGCAGTGCTCAAGTTTGTGCCCGTTACCTCTTGTGCTGTCACTGGGCACCACTGAAAAGAGTCTTGGCTGGCCTCCTGCACCCACCCTTGGTGTGTTGATGAGATTCCCCCTCAGCCTTCTCCAGGCTAAAAAGAGCCTCAGCCTTTCCTTGTAAGAGAGGTCTTCTAGTCCCTTCAGAATCTTCATAGCCCTTCTCTGTCCCCTCACCAGCAGTTCCTTGTCCTTCTGGAACTGGGCCCAGTTCTCCAGATGGGGCCTCCCCAGGGCAGAGCAGAGGGGCAGGAGAACCTCCCTGACCTGCTGGCCACGCTCTTTCTCCTGCCCCCCGGAACTTCTTGGCAACAAGGTCACATTGTTGGCTCCTGGTCAGCCTGTTGGCCACCAGGTCCTTTCCACACAGCTGCTTTGAGCTCCTGCTCTGCAGCTCCAACATGTCACTAACTCCCTTCTGCTTCCACGGGTCCCAAAACTGCTGAGATGTCAGTGGCACATTCCTGCACTTTGTAGGAATGACATTTTAGGGTATTTTTCCATAAATCAAGACTTCTCCTTTTTTCATTTGTAACTGTGAACTAGTCAGGAGACCAGTAGAACCAGAAACCTGGCTGAGTGAGGTAAGACCTAATTAGGTGAGGTGAGGAGGTGTTGGAACATGGGATGTTTGCAGCAGCAGGTGTATCTCACTCTCTAGGGCAAGCTGGGGATGGCAGGTGAGAACCTCAAGCTGCCACTGTAAAAACATTTAAACTGGAAACTCCATTGCCTAAATTATAGAAAAATCTTCAAGTATTTAGCAGCTGGTTTTGTTTTTAAAATGTGCCTGAGGCAAGTGTGGTTGCACGTGGTGGTATGATGGGGTGGGGGGTGTGGGAGTGAATCATGGAATGCCAGGTTGGAAGGGATCTCAAGGATCCAGGAGTGGAGCCCAGCTGTCCCCTTTGCCAGCTCCTTGCTTACTACAAAGTGTCCCTTTGGTGACATTTATTGTTCTTCTCATAAATGACCATAGAGTCATACCATAGAGTCCCAGACTGGTTTGAGTTGGAAGGGACCTTAAAGCTCATCCAGTCCCACCCCCTGCATGGGCAGGGACACCTCCCAGCAGCCCAGGTTGCTCCAAGCCCCATCCAACCTGCCCTTCAACACTGCCAGGGATGGGGCAGCCACAGCTTCCCTGGGCAACCTGGGCCAGGCTCTCACCACCCATGTTGATGGGTGATAATGAAGTTGAGATGTTGATGTTGAGAGGCTGCTCGTAAACCGTTCGCTGTAGTTAACACAGCCATGTGTGGATGTGTCAGGTGCTCCAGATGCAGTGTAGCTCCTGGCTGTGTGTGGCTGAGTTTCAGGGTTTGTTTTTCCTTGCATCCAGAGCTGGGAGGACTTCTCAAGTACGTCAGGCCCTTCCTGAACTCCATCAGCAAGGCCAAGGCTGCCCGGCTGGTCCGTTCCCTGCTCGACCTCTTCCTTGACATGGAGGCAGCCACAGGACAGGAGGTGAGATTTCAGTTTCAGCACTCTGCTCCTCAAAAGCATGTAACACCATTATCTGGCCTACTTTGCTTCACACTGAAGGAATTATTCATGTCAGGAAATGATCATTTATTTGAATATATTCTATTAATAAAACATTAGATAATTTCATTTGCTCCTAACCGTGTTTTTCTGCGAGGCTCTTCCTGCTGCAGGTTTGGAGTAACTCTGACCCAGGGTGTTTTTCTTAGGAGGGTGTTGCTTGCTGGTAGATGTACAGGTAGTGGTTTGTGGGGTGACTAGTGCTGGGGGACGAGAGGTGAGAGGTGCTGACCTGTCTGGGGAGCTGGGTCTGGTGCGGGGACAGTGTGTGATGGGACAGAGCTGGAGTGGGGAGTGCCCAGGGTCTGTTCAGGAGATCATAGGATTACATCATAGAATGGTTTGGGTTGGAAGGGACCTTAAAGATCATCCAGTCCCATCCCCTGCATGGGCAGGGACACCTCCCACCAGCCCAGGCTGCTCCAAGCCCCATCCAACCTGCCCTTCAACACTGCCAGGGATGGGGCAGCCACAGCTTCCCTGGGCAACCTGGGCCAGGCTCTCACCACTCTCACAGGGAAGAATTTCTTCCTCATGTCTCACCTCAATCTCCCTCTTCCAGTTTTCATCCATTCCCCTCATCCCATCCCTCCCTGCCCTTGTCCCAAGTCCGTCCCCAGCTTTCCTGGAGCCCCTTCAGGCACTGGAAGCTGCTCTAAGGTCTCCCTGGAGCCTTCTCTTCTCCAGGCTGAACACCCCAACTCTCCCAGCCTGGCTCCAGAGCAGAGCTGCTCCAGCCCTGGGATCATCTCTGTGACTCTCTTCTACTTTAAATTCTGTAAGTCAGAAAGGAGAGGGTCAGAGATGGTGAGTGTTAATTAGTATCTTTCACCTGGAGACATGGAGGTTGAAGGACAGTGGGATGTCTTACTATCCAGAAGGCTTCTGAGTCATGAAAATTACTTCTGAAGTGAGAATGGGAAAAATTTAAAGAGTTTAAAAGTTTTACTCTTAATTTCATCCAGCGAAGTAGTTATTATCCACTAGAAAACCCATTCATTCTGAGCCCACAGGTTTTACTCCATTCTCATTAGCTCCCTAGAGTATGGTTTACTTTTTTTTTTTTTTTTCTCCTGTCCATGTGCCTTGGTGGTTATTTGGGAGTGAGAGGAAGACAAGAGCAACTTGGAAATGGTCAGAAGCTAAATACAAGCAGTGTTGACCTGCAGTGTTGTAGGTTGTACTGACACACCAAAGGTGGGAAGGGGAGGTAGGGAGGGTCTGAGTAACAGGTTAGTCACAAAATCACAATGTTGAGGTTGGCAGGGACCCCTGGAGATCATCTATCCAAGCCCTGCCAGAGCAGGATCCCCCAGAGCAGATCCCACAGGAACACGTCCAGGAGGGCTGGGAATGTCTCCAGGGATGGAGACTCCCCCACCTCCCTGGGCAGCCTGTCCCAGGGCTCTGCCACCCTCACAGCAAAGAAGTATTTTTTCTGTTTAGGTTGACCCTCCTGTGTTCCAGTTTGTGCCCTTTGCCCCCTATCCTGTCACTGGGCACCACTGGGAAAAGCCTGGCTCCATCCTGCTGGCACCCACCCTTGATGTGTTGATAAGCACAGATAAGATCCTTCTCCAGGCTAAAAAGACCCAAGTCCCTCAGCCTTTCCTCACAATAGAAATGTTCTAGTCCCTTCAGCATCTTCATAACCCTTCTCTGTCCCCTCACCAGCAGCTCCTTGTCCTTCTGCAACTGGGCAGCCCAGAACTGGGCCCAGTTCTCCAGATGGGGCCTCCCCAGGGCAGAGCAGAGGGGCAGGAGAACCTCCCTGACCTGCTGGCCACACTCTTCTTGATGCCCCCAGGATGGCATTGGCCTTTTTGGCCACAAGGCCACATTGCTGGCTCCTGGTCAGCCTGTTGGCCACCAGGACTCCAAGGTCTTTCTCCCCAGAGCTGCTTTCCAGCAGGTCACCCCCAAACCTGTGCTGGTGCATGTCCTTTGGTAAGGACAGAGTCCACCTAACACTGTCCTCACAGTGACTGACACAGGCAGGTGCCATTCTCATTAGCCAAATCAGTGCAGAAGTATCATCTTTTGGGTCAGGTAACCTACCAAATGCTCCTGGTGTGCAGATCTGTTCTCATGTTCCTGTCCATGGGGACAGACAGAATCTTTAGCCCCTCTTCTTCGACATGAGGTTAAGGGAAGCAGGGTGGGATGTGCAGGTGAGATGGGAACCCCTAGAAAGGTCATGGGAAAGTGACGGGCTTCAGATGTCTTCTAAAGGTGATTTGATGTAAATGACAGTGTTTGGATGCCACCCAAAAGGTGGCATTTTATGGCAGGGGAAGAACTGGGAGTTACAGTGATGGCAAGACAGCCCAGTTAGTCAGAACATTCATTTTGAAGCATATTTAGGAGCTAAACCCAAAACCTTAAGGAATGATGACACCTTCCCTGAGAGGTTCTTGCTGCAGCAATTCTAAACACTTCCGTGTCTCATTCAGAGGGACATTTGCTTCCTTGGGGTGATGTGTATTGAGAGGACTCCCAGGAGTTCCATAAAGCAATGAAATGAGAGGTTTCTCCAGCTCCTGCTGCTCCAGCTATCGCTGCGCAATAAAACGCGCCTTCAGAAGGGCTTGTCATAAATTGTCTCCATTTATTAAGCAGTGACAAGGAGCTAACAAGTCCTGCTGTGTGGAACAGCTACAGAGCTG